CTGTAAACTTACTTCTTTTGTGGCTGTCTAGGGGCTAATAAACTAGTCCAATTTGCAAATAACTTGAATATTTAATGGAAACATGAATAGTTGCTACAAATTACAAAATGATTACATGTGTAGAAAGATGAATTTACATAGATGATATTTACAGATGAAGAGAATTGACCGTCTTTTACATGTAAACATCTTTCAGTCGCATCATCGTCTTAATGGCGGAATCGTCTGACTTCTATCATCGGAAAAGTAAAATATTTATTCTCACAGCTTGTCGCGTCATCCGATTATAATGAACGATGCCATCCCACAAAATTGTAACATTTTTAGATGGACGTTGCTTCAGTTATGTGTTAATCACTCCTGTTTTTAGTGTCAATAAAACTATTAGAACTCATGTGTAATAATGGTGGGATAAGATTATTTGGCGTAGACTAATAACAGAAGACTATATAATACTAGTACTTAAATATATAATACTAGTAATAAATATATACTACTTGAATATATAAATACTAGTGCTTTGAATAATTTATCAACACATATATAAAAGCTGAATGAAATTCTGTCAAAATTCTTCTTCAGTTTGCTTTGCCTCGTAACAAGGATAACATTGCTTTTGAGAATTCAGTAACAAAACAATCATTGAATGATTGGGAAAGATTTATTTAAGTCTTATTCTGAAAACTGCATCTTTCATGAGACAAATTTTTATTCGTTGTAACGAAATACATGTTACAGTAGCTTATTTATGAAGTTCATGAATGTTAATGATGTTTTTGAATATAAATGATACTTGTCTCTTTCCTTCAGGTCTGTTGCATGCGATTTTGAAATAATACAAATTTAAAAAAAAATATGTATATTTTGGTTTTTATGGTTTCATTGAGTTTAATGTTAAGAGAATATTTTTATAGAAGAGTGAATTAATTTTGCATTAAAATGTGGAAAATACATTTAAAAGATACCTTTATGACAATGGCTTAAAGAATTTGAAAATACTTTCTCCCTAGTGATTAAAACTATTGTTACAAATTTTACAAATTTATGAAACTTATAAAAACTGAAATTATTACTAGTGTTTTTTGGTCAATGTAATTATCAGTTGTGTGTAAAATACACCAAATATATCCCATGTTGTTACTGAAATATTCGTCTGTGAAATTAAATATCCAGTATTTGTAGAATGATCCCAAAACTTCGATGATTCAAATTTTTTTAATTAAACAAGTAGTATAATTAATTGCAATTAACGTAAATAGGAGTCAGAAACATGACATGTTATTTTAAGGCTGAGGTCTGGTTTATTTTATTAAGACAAAGCGCTTAAGGGCTATCAGCTTAAGGGAAGAGATGCCATCGTGGAGGAATTTCTAAGAGAAACTGGCTCATATACACATTACACATGGAGAAAACCACGAAAACGCCTATGCAGCCAGCCCGTTCGTAACTTCCAGTGTTCAGCGACTTTACCGCTCGGCCGCTGGATCCCTTTAAGAGTGAGAGCCAGGGCTATAAATTAAAATTTACATTGATAAAGAATGTTGTACTCTATCTACAGTAACAATAATAGTCAAAATAGTATTCAAAATGATTCCTTTACACGTAAGAAAGTGCAAAAATTATATAATGTTAATGCTGGATATAATTTGAGTAATATGAATATAAAATTTTCAGATTTTCAAGATACGTTAATTATCATATTACAATCAAACTTTTATATATAAATCTTTTCTTACTCGAAACGGGTTTAATTGATTCTCAATTTTAATCTACACGTGACCCAAACCTGACTAAGAAAATTTTTCAGATTTAGTAATTGTCTCATTTGGTTTATTTAACCTGAGATACGTGAATTTTATTTGATGTGCACTTTTTCTTGGACACATTCGCAAAACAACAAATCAAGATGTGCAACGTCTGGAGGAGGTATAGCCATGATATTGGATCATCTTTTCTTACATCCATCAGTCTGGAATTCCTCTTTCGTGTAGTTTCGCAGAACTTTTCCCCCCAACGAATAAATGTCACATTTTCAACCAAATGATATCTAGTTGCAAATAAGAAACTTTAAGGAGGGCACAATGTTTTATCATGTCGAAAAAGAAATTTTATGGCTGTAGTTTCTGTAGAAAAGACCTGCTTAGGATAGAAGGGATTTAAAATTAACAATTTCTTTGAGTTTTGTATTCGAACTATTTTTCAGATTTAATATATCAGAGAGTTTTGAACAACACTGTAAATACGTAAATCTTTGAATATTTTGTAATTTTCCGAGTAGGTAATTAAATTAAATTTGCATACAGTACGGAAAGTTAAGTGATATATACTTGGAAATGTTTATTTATTTTTTTTTTTGTAAATAATACAGTGTTTAAATATCAATAAAGTGATGAGCAATAATTATTTTATGTTTATACCATCTCTTCGAGGCAAGCAATCCTGTTTTTGAAACATGTGCAGCTATTAAAATAATAGTTAGCCCACAGGAAGTAATGCTTATAAATGCAAGCAGTCAACATTTAAGTCAGTTTAAAATCAAGCAAAACAATGTTGAAGTGCTGGTAATAACCACAGTGTTAAAAGACCAAAAAACTACAAGAAGAGAAGAATTCACATAGGCTACTGAGGGATTTTAAATAAAATGTTTTATATCTGTTCAAATTTCAAATTTATTTTTGAAAAAAGGAATGAAACGACAGATTTTATATTATTAATATTGATTATAATTATTTTAGAAATTATATAATAATTAATAATGTATTAAAAATTTTTTGAACGTGTTCTAGAAAACAAAAACAAATAAAGAAAATTTTGCTTGCAATTTATGCCATTTTTTGCAATATTTCTGGACAGACAGGTTTCAAATAAAAGCTGATAATTTAAGTTGCTATTAACCAAATGAACAGAACTAGGTTTTATTATATAGTTCTTAAATAGAAAAAAGTCATTCAAAATAAACCGAAAAAGGAGTCTTTAGAATGAAAATTGGAAAACATAAAATTATATATATTTATCTATTTTATTCAATTGTAATAAAACATAAAATTTAAACTTTTATTACTAAGTTTTCTTCCTAGTGACGCTGTTGAGTTCTCTAGAATATAAATTAGAAAGGTAAAATTAGGTATATTTATACATTTTATTCAATTAAAATTAAAAAAAATGAAAATGAAAATTCTACTACTATGGTTTCTTTCCAGTTACACAGTAGAATGCGTAAATTTAATAAATATCTCGGTTAATTTTGTAAAAAGATTAAGCGAATTATGACTGCACAGGTATTCGAAGTTTTACTAATGGCTATCGTAATCAAAAATGGCACAAGAAAGGTGATAAATATTCACATATTTTGAGGCAGTTGGTGGCGTGCAAATGAATAATGGTTATGGCCACGTCTTAGGCAAATGAAGAGATAAAATAAATTACTATGAATGTATGTCATGTTACTTCTTTAAATATTTAAGAAAGAAATTTTCAACACTAACTGCTAACAACTTATGAGGTGTTCTCACATAAAATAAAAGAAGCATTTCACCTGTTCTCATTTCTTACTTGGACGAAGATCTTGAAGACCTGGTTAATTCTGATTCGCTTCTCAAATAAATCTTTTATTCTCAAATCAGTTTCTGAAATTTCCTTTTTGCTTGCCGTTTTCTGCCTACATTTGCTTGACTTGAATATTGTTCTACTTTATATCTTAAAAGGAAACATTTTGCAGCGAACTGAAAAAGAGAGGAAAAATAACTCTGGCACGAAGTAATTAAAAATAATCCTTCAATCATTATCTCAGAAAAACTGATTACACAGTTTTATTCTTATCACTTATTTAAATAATAGTTAAAAAATATCAATAAAAAGCTGATAGAAGTATGTTTTGTTTCCATCGAATTTCTTAATATTTCAGTCTGAGAATCCCCTACACATAGGTTCTAATTTGAAATCACTAAACAGCATTTAAAAGCTATTTAATAAATTTGCTGAGAGTTTCTCTTTTCTTCTTAATAGTTCCTGAAATTTTTATTCGATACGTGGACTAATTTTAAACCAGATTCGTTTTCTTAAATAATTCTATATTTTTTCACATTGGAGATATATGTCTGATCCTATCATCAAACTCAATAGGAGCCGAAGTGCAGTATTTATTCGAGGTTAGCATTCTAGCGTCATATCTTAAATCATAAATTCCTTGAATTCACATGAATCACTGTGTGCTATATCGAGTGGTATATCATAATCGGCTTTTGTGCCAGCTTTAAATCCAAGCATCGAAGCGTGCGCAGTAATAAGAAAATGATTGGAATGCGAGTAGCTGTAGTCATGAGTAGCTGTAGTTATAAGTGTGTATGCGAGTGATGATACATTTTTACCATATAAATAAAAGTAGCATGTAGTTTAAAAGAGTGTGTCTTGTGAAATAATTACCCACTAAAGTAACTGGCGACGAGGTTGTTGGATTTTTTGTAATAATAATGGATCATTTTGGAGGAACTGGTCTTGATCTAAGACTTTTAACTGACTCATTTTCTTGTACTAGCTTGAGTGTCTGATGCAAATGCTATCCTTGGACACCATGGGAATAACGTTGTTGAACATCGGGTACCTGAAAATTAATTATGCTTCCCAATCTGAGCTGTGACTACACTGAAGCATTTTTGAACTCTTTGGAAACTTTTATTCCTCGCGTTTTTCTATTCATAGGTTTTCTACTTTTGAGATTCGTTTCCTAACATACTCCCTGGCTGTATTTAATGCAAATTTATTGAGCGAAATTCTCTACAAGTCCGGTAGATACATTTAATGGTAATTCATCCGTTTCCGTTGTCGGGCTTGCTTTCGAAGAGAAATATTTTTCAGTTTGAGCCATGGAAAAGGCATAGATACCAATATGACGTAACATTAGCATATCACTGTTAGTAACATATCATATCACTGGTTAGTAAGATATCATTCCACTTCATATTAATTTTTGATTAATTACAAAAATCAATGCTTGGTTTGCAATGGGGGGTGATCACATAATCCATTCCTGGGTTAAGGAGCTTCATCTCAGTAACTCGGTGTTTCAGGCAGAACTTACAGCCCTAAAGGCAGCTCTAGATTTTATTGTTAACAGTGGCAGGTATAAAGTAATTTACACAGACTCAATGCCAAGCTTGCAGGCCATCCAGGGTGGACGCAGTAGACATCCCATTGTCAGAGACATACCAAAACTATTAATTTCGATTCCTGCAAATCTGAGGCCCCAGCTACAGTGGGTTCCAGCCCATACGGGGATTAAAGGAAATGAAGCAGCGGATATGATTGCGAAAGGCGCAGCCAATGAACCCCGCGTGTGAGTAGCACTAGTGTGCCCCTTCCGCACTCATATCCAAAAACTACTCTCAAATGTGAATTAATGAAGCAGTGACAAAACTACTGGGAGAAAAGCACCACAGGCAGAAGACTGTATGATTTCCAACCAAACGTTAACCGCATTTTAAATAGCAGCTTTTCGCACCTCACACAGTGTCTGATAGGCCCATATATGTCCTATCTTCACAGATTTCGCCTAAGAGACAGTGATAATGTATTTGTGGCAGTACTGGGGACACAGATCACTGTCTGTTTGACTGCTCGCACACAGGGAATTCACACTTAAAAAGGCCAACTGCAATCAATATGCCGGCATGGTTCAAGAAGACAATTAAGAAAGCTGCATTAGAGACTGCACTACCATTGCTAAAAGCATTGCTGACAGCCTGGAGTGAATTCTTTCCTTGGACACCATGCCGTCAGCAGCCCGCTCCGTACAAATACTAATTTAATTAATGTTTTTTTTTGTTTTTTTTTTGTTTTTGTTTTTAATTATATTTAATATTGTGATTAATCCAGAACTCATTAATTGTATTCCACAATTTGTAATGTATTTGATCATCTTTACATTTGTACCTGATTATTATAGCACATCCTTACTATAACTGTATGCCTAACATGTAGTATAATAGTAAAAAGTGTTCCGCTTAGTTTCAGCAGTCCCCACCATGCACCTTCTTTCCATATTCTGGTCCTTATTTCAATGTTCCTCGTTTTGTGACCAATCCCAGAAGGACACAGTACTAAGCTCCTTATTTATATTTAATTATATATTTTTTAATTCCATCGACGGGATCCAACAGACTGAAAAGCACCTAACTCAGTGGGCCAGCTGTTCCGTCGATGGCGAAAAGAATGAAAGTCCGAAACCTTAATCAGCCAATAGAATTTTGTTTGGAACCACAAGTTCATTATTCATATACTAGCAGCACTTTTTTTTGTTATCTGCACTCTCTTTGCACTCTTCCCTCCATCCAGCTATGATACAGTCTTCTGCAGCCCTTTCTCTTTAATTTTAGAGCTGCATATATGAAACTTACAGGTTGAGTTACTGAACATCGTGTGCATCCCTCTTTGTGACTTACGTTGCTATTTTGTATTCCGAATGTTTCTCTGAATAAGCAGTATCACCCGGCATTCATCATCACCAACTTCTTCCCGCTACTCATCTCCTCATCAACAACTGTATTATTATATACATACGTTACGAACACTTTGAATTTGTCGTAAATGATAACACTGAAGACATTTTTCACTTACATGCAGACATGGTCATTTGGTGCAAAGCTTTACTTTGGGCATTATTCACTTTAGGCATCTTTACTTTAGGCATCGAAATAAACTACAATAACGCAGTACAAGAAATAAATTTTAAGAACAGCACCAATCGATTTTACTAAATTAAGAAAATTCAAAATGTTGTACCAGTATACAAAAAATGACGAACAACCATCAGAATTTGCTAAAGAGCTTACAAATTTCTGACATATGCAGTAAAATATCAGCCGCAACCGCAAAATAAGAATTGTGAATATTCTAAACTACAGAACATTAAAATTCCTCCACGTGAATAAATTTTAACTAAAGATAGCAACGATGAAATTTCACAAAAACGAGTAATGCTTTTAAAGCGAAAATTCCAACAAACCACGTTCCTCCGCTTTCGAACTGGAACTCAATTAATTTTACACACATGTGTGAAAAATTATAGTTTACATTACCTCCCAGTAAGAAACGGAAACATTGCTGCAGAAAATTCAGTTTTCCTGTCAAACAATAATTTATTTACTTCAATATCAGTACAGTATGCTTCAGGCTCTATACATAACATTTAAACACCTGTGGAGCAACAGTGATAGAAACAGGCAACTGAGGAGAAATATTTATTGAGAAAAGATAGATATATACATTTGTCTTTTTGATTATTTCTTTAAAGAACAAAAAAAAAAAAAAAAAAAAAAAAAAAAAAAAAAAACATGACTTACACATCCCACTTCAGTTTTTTTATGCGAAAAGAAAGGCAAAACTGTTTTTACTCATAAGAAATATATTTTTTCCCTCCGCAGTTAACTCTTGGCTCTGTTTCTGAGGTGATTAAATGAACCACAAGTTTAACAGTAAATTAAAGTTGATGTTTTCAACGAAATAATCCTCTTATCACACAAAATATAAAATTAAATACTGTGAATTTTTTCGCTTCTTCTATTAAATGCGTTGGGTGAATTATTACCTCAATTCATTTTTTGAAATATTCTAAGCTGTTTTTAATCATTAGTTTCTCCAACGAAAAATAAATTAATAATCTAAAATTTTATTTTTTGTAAAATAATGAAAGAATGCCCGCTCTTGTTTACTTATGGGTTGTCCTTCCGAGGTTCTGTAGATATAAATATGTATCTAAGTAACTCTATGGATGTCTATGTATCTGAACGTACGCATTAGATGTACTCCCATTTTGTAAGACTTCCTGAGCATATATGTATAGTTGAATGTTCCTATGTACTGTTTGAGTTCTATATATGTAACAAATACACCACCTTATAATGTATATATTCCCTTGTGTTTCTTTTCATCCTATTACGTTTATTTGTCATGTGTAGTAAGAAACGTAGTTGTTATGATTTATCCTTCAGAGGTTTAGTATGTATATCTATGTAACTTAGTAACTCTATGAATGTCTATGTATCCGAACGTATGCATATGACGTATCTCCACAGATTTCCTGATTACCTATATTATATGAATGTCTATGAGATACCTATATTATATGAATGTCTATGAGAATATATGCTATGAGATACCTATATTATATGAATGTCTATTATTAACTTTTTAACTCTATGTAAATCTATGCACTTGTAACACTTAACCATATGTAATGCAACAACAGTATAAGTATTTTCATATTCATTTGTAATTCCCTATTACTTGATTTATGCAGTATGACAATAGAATGTAAGCAACTCTTCAAGGGCCCCGTTATCGCTCCCATGTGAACCCTTTTTTTATGAGAAATAGAACATTAATTTGCCTGTCTCCACGGAGTTGTGTCACCGTGGGATGGTTTTCTTTGGCATCTCCCTGCTAGGTTGACACTCAATTCTGTATGGGTATACCCAGATATATCCGGGGCGGAAGCCTGCTCTACGGTTTAAACCCTTTCAAGAAATGCACATAATTCATGAAAAGGAACAAAATAGAAGCATTCATACATATGAGTACATGTATGCGTTTATAAAAATTTTTACAATAAGGCTTATTAAATATTTACATTTTATCGTCTACTATATTCAGACTTTTGGTTGTGTATACGGTGTCCGCCGAAAACATCGCGGGCGAAAATTTTTAGGAGAAAACAACGCAAGGCGGAAACATCGTGGGAGAAAAGAAAGCAAAGAAAAAACCATCGCAGTTTAAAAACATATTCGTCCAAAATATCGTGGTAAAAAATAAATTATCTACAAATCATTGCATGACGATAAATATTTTAAAAATGGCAAATGGTACATACTTGAAATTTAATGTAATTTTTTATATGGGCACTATTTTCTAATTGAACCAAAAATTTGATGAATATATTAGTATTAAAAAAAATGTATGCACGAAAACATTACAGATTTTTTTAATAAAATACATTTTATAAACTCAACTCCAAATAAAATAAAAAAATTAACATGAAATTCTAGGTTCACTGTAGTTTCCAAATGGTATAAAAGCTATATATTAAATATGGAATTAAATTATGCAACAGAATTTCTTAAACTGTGCGCGCAAGGTGGAAACTGGACGAAAAATTTTGTCACAAAGCAGATTAATTATAAAAGCATTTGTGCCAACACAAACATTCTGATTACTATTTCAAAAAGCAGCTATATTATGTAGTCAGCTGTAAAACGTTGGAAGTATTTGCTTATAAAATAAATAAGTTATCATAATTCTTGCAACAGTCACATATTCGAAGATCTTATGGGTTTTAAGGCGTATGAGTCCCCTAAAAAATTGAAAATGAGTAGAAAATTAATGCAATTTATAGAACTTTATTTTAAATATACATAGTTAATTAACAAAGGTCATTAATAGAATAAACCATTTAAAAATTTTACTGATACATTTTTATGAAAAATACAGTCTAAAAATGCTTAGAAAAGGGAAGATAAATATCTGCATGAGCTTACCTCTATAAAAATTGCTTAGTTGATTATCATATTATTTTCTTTCACATTTGTTAATCTTGCAGAGACATTAGGTATTTTTTGGAAATAGGCAAGATAAAAAAGAGCAATCGCCTTCGCCGGGAATCGAACCACGGAACTCTGGAATACCGGCCGAGCGTGAAGAACCACTACACCACGAAAGCACGCTAGAAAGGCGGGAGAAATACTTTATAATCTCATATTGTTTGTGAAAATTATATTTTGCTTTGTTTCCATTTATTCTTAAAGTTTCGTCAATATTTTCATGTAAAGCGTGCAATTAATTTTTTGCATGCCGATTTGTTAATTATGACGAAAATCAGTTACACAATATGTCAGTATTGGATTTAAAAACGCATGCATGCGATGTTATCGTCATGCTTTGATTTGTAGGTACTTTATTTTTTACCTTGTACCAGGAAGTTTACGCCTTGCGTTGTTTTCTCCGCGATGCTTTTCGGCTGTAACCGTGTATACTGAACAGTTTTCGCTTCCCCCATATTCAGACTTGTGGTTGTGTATAATGAATAGTCTCTTCAGTGACCTAGTTTTTGCCACATACGAACTTCCTCCATGCTCTTCAAACGGTAATCTTCCTATAAAGGCGCCCTCACGAAATCTCTTCATCAGAGATGTCCAAATTTCATATTAGTGTGTGCCATGATAGAATTCGGGAATATTTAAATATTATTTTCACTTTCGTGTCTTTAAACTTCTCTTATGACATTTATAATGGGAAAATGTAAGAAAAATCATGTGACGGCATTAAACTTGTAAGAGAATCGTCACGT